CACCAAGATGCTCTTATAGGAAATATAATTAACCTGAAAAAGGGTTTATAGCCCAAAAATCAAATATGAGAAAACAATGCCCTATGTGACAGGGAACCAGAGAGTAATAGGGGCAACTAGACCAGTATTTATGGATAGGTTGGAAAGAGAGGCTTTAATAGGTAAAGGAACACAACTATAGATCAAGTCCAGGAGTGAGAAGGTTTGGAACCACTAAGGTAAACAGCAGGTTTCCCCCCACCAATCTAAAAACCGAGGGTGTTCATGAGACTCAAAAATGCACAGTGTACCCTGGGGGAGTGAAAGGGGAGGAACAGTCTTAAAAAAGATGACAGAAGATATTGTTAACAGTGTATCAGGATTTAAAACCCGTATTACTTACACCCCTCTGCTTAAGATAGATTTTATTCTGTCCCAGTTCGTCTACTTGCACTAGATCTGAGGGCACAGACAGCTATCCCAAAAATATGATATAGTACAGTAATCATCTTTAACTTCCTATTAACTTAATCTGAAGTCCTGTATAATTTCTACTGTTTTATCATGATTGATCTTAGTTAAATATGGTTTGATTGATTGCTGTTTGGTATCGACTATTAGGATGGATAGTATCAAGTCTGAGCATATAGGCAACTACACTGAAGATGACAAGATTCACTACGATACCCATTCTGGTTTGATTACTACCTGTTTTTGAAGTTTTACACTATCTACAAAGTTGTGTTTTTATTAACATTGTTATGTACTGATATATTCAAATATACTATGCCTGATGATATAGCCAATTCTATTGAAGATAACAAAAGAAAACACAGGAACCATGGTAGAACTTGTACAACGGTTTTATATGTCTTTTTTGTTTCATGTATTTATAGGAATATGTTTTGTTTTGTCTTGCTTTATTTTATTTCTCCTCTAATATAGAAAGCATAGAAATACATGTTAAGACTCATGCATGCGTAGAACTTATAAACAGTTTATGAGAACTGATCTTATGACACATGATGAAATGAACAAATATGGATTACTGCATGTATGTTTAAGTGTATACGATTGATAACCATATTACTAAGTTTTTGATAGATAGTTGAACAGAACTATGTGCAGTCTCGCTGTTTGAATCCCCACTTTGTATGTTTCACTTTTGTATCTTGAACAACTATTTGTAAGAGGACAATAAGTAATCATCACCTAGTGATTTCTTACTGTTTATTTTTTCTTTGAAAATATGTATTATTTCTACCCATTTTGTTTTGTGTAGTCTTTCTTTAAATAAAATTTTAAAAAACCTTCATAAACAAACAAACAAAAAAAAGTATTTAGAAAACTTTTTTTGGACTGCAAAAGTCATACATTGTAAAAAAAAAAAAAAAACCTCTAAAAACAGAAAAGCATAAAACAGAAAAAGAATTACCTCCTACTCAGTCATCGCCACAGTCTGGAACAAAGCTTCTACTCCCTTATCAGTACGTATAAAGCACCTGACAGCACGCTAAGAGTGCAGGTCTCAGCCAAGCACAAGACAGGTGGAGGGAAACATCACTGTGGCTCCATCTGCTTATACATGGAGGTGTGACATGAAAATGGAGGACAGTGAAGTACGTTCCGCCAAGTACTGCAGAGCAGGACAGCTGAGGTGGGGTCAGAGATGCTGCTAGTTACAGTCCCTGTATCCGTTCCCGTAGGGACGAAGATGCCCTTAGGTTTTCAGGTAAAGATTTAAGCATCTGCCTAATAATAAAAGAAAACTAGAAGGAAACACACAATCAAGCAATTGTTTACCAGCTTCTTTTCACCTCTTGTCCCAGAAGTTTCTATGAAGGCTAAGACCTGAGGACACCCTCACTTACTTCCAAGTACTAATTCTCCACCTCAGGAGCCTGCCTGCTCTGAGTGATCCACAGTGGGAGATAAACAGCACTGCCCTGGGAGGTTTTGCAGAAGAGAGGCACACAAACAGATAACAATTCAAGAATGCAAAGTTTCGCTGGAGGAACATTGAAGGTCACAGGGAATAATGAACAAATTGGGGCAGAGGCCCTGTGAGGGTTTTATGGAGAAACAGACACAGGAGGGGCTGGCTCTGCGGGCCGAAAGGCACTCAGGACTGAAAGGAACCAGGAAGTAATTCACAGGTGACACAAGCCTCCTGCCTTCCTCTCTGCTGTCCACCAACCAGTCATCCTATTCAACCTTTGTTTCTTCGGAGCTCCCAGTGCCAGACCCACAGCAGGTGCTAAAAATACGAGGAGGAATGAGGGAGGCTGAGGGTTGCCTTCAGAGAGCTCACAGTTTAGGGGAACGCAGGGAAGGAGCCCAACAGTCACGCTAATACAGCTGTGGTAAGAGCGTACCATGAGACGAGAGGCAAGCCAAAGTGGAAGAGAGGAACTAGCTAAGATGAAGGGGATATCTGGAGAAGGGAAAATTATCTGGAAGGTCTTTATCCAAAGAATAACAGGAAGAAGCAGAGGGTGAGCCTAAAGCAATGTCATGATCAAGTCTGTGCTCTGAAAGGGGACTCCAGATGTAGCGAGAACTGACCAGAGGAATACTGAAAAGCAAATGGCAAGAGGGCAGGTGAGAAGCAGCAGACTTGTCTCCAGAAGATAAAGAGAGGCTGAGGAGGCGTAAGACTGGATTTGCTGCACTTGGACCAAGAAGGTGGGAGGGCAGCGATATTCACCGCAATGGAAAACGGTGCCATTTCACAGCACAGTTCTGCAGCAGGGCCACTAGCTAAGACCCCAGCACGCAGGCAGCAGCACACAGACTGTCAATGCCCTGGGAAGGCAGACTGGCTTTTTGACTCTCAGCCCACAGAGGTTATGACACTTTAGTGACACATTTGTAAACAAAAGAGCTGGAAAACAACTGATGGAACTGACAGTTTTAGTTTTCTTTCCTTCATGTCTTTTATTAGACCAACTGCCACCATATCACTTGGAAACTTAGAACTACAAACCCTGGCCCCATCCCACCATCCCTGATCAGAAACTGTGGGGAGGGAGGCACAACTGTGTTTTAACACATGGACCGGGAGATTCTGATATTTACCAAATCGGAGGACCACTCAACATCCTTAAAGACAGGGTAAAAAGCACAAGGACAAAAAACAAGAGCTTACCAGTAATAAAGCAACTGGCCCCCTGCGAGGCCTAATGCTGTAACAGTTTACAGAGAACACACGTGTGAGAAACTACACCCTCATAAGTCTTTTCATAAGGGAAAACTGACCTCAAATGCAGTTGCTTAGTCAAGAAACAGAAGAAATGGGCACCTTCAGGTTCCTGGTAACAGAACGTGCCACATCCCAAGTTCTCGTCTCCTGACATTAAGGGGGAACACCCTGGGACCTGTGATGCCCCTGCTCACTCCACAGAAGGCCTTGTTGTAAGTCATTTTCTTTTCTAAATGCAGTAAAATGTCAGCTCCTCATGAATACAGAGATTTATTTCTCAGCTGACAGATTTCCAGTGACCTTCACCAACGTGAAGAACCATTTAGAGTGAGCACACTCTGAGAAAGTGTAGTCCCAACATGAAAACCAAGGCTGGCTGAGTCTACCAATGAGGAAACTGTCGGTAGTTCCAGGCTAAAAGAAACATTTTTTTTTTTTTGTCTTTTGATTTTTATCGGTACTGGGGATCGAACTCATGACCACCTGCTTGCAAGGCAGCTGCTTATGCTGCTGAGCTAAACCCCCAGCCCCTAAAAGAAACATTTTAACTGTAACTGAAAGGCAGACTAACTCAAGTACCTGACCTGGAAATGAACTATATGAACACAAGCTTATTCACACACACACACCTTCTCACCAAAACACTCATTCACACTCTTGTACATACACTCACACATTCACCAGTATGGCACACTCATGTTTGCATGCACATACACACACACACACACACACATACACACTTTCCCACGTGCAAGCATAATCACAATCATACGCACTCGTATACTCACGCTCAACCACACATAACCATTTTACTCACCCTCACACACACACAAACTTCTGTTTCATTTACCCATGTACACTCACATTCTGATAAACACTCATACATGTGTGCTCAAATGCTCACAGACACACTCGACTCCTTCTAATAGGCACACAGCCTCACACAAGTGCACAGGCAAACCTAAACCCCACTCTTGCACACATGCATGTACACTCACTCTTTCATACTCGCTTCTCACATTCTCTCCCCCACACTCAGGCATACATTTCCACTGCCATTTGTACAGTGCACAGCCTCACTCACTGACACAGGCACATACACACCCAGTGACACAACTCTCTCCCTTGGATACATAGTTGGTCTCAGCTAAGCTGTGGGAAACAAGAGACTGTCGACAAAGACCACAGCCTGTGTGGCTAACTGAGACATTTCAAACAAGCATTCAGAAACCCAACCGGGTGGTCTGCTAACCTATGCCCCATCTAAAAATCAGCTTCCAAACTCTGATTATGCAATCCGGTTACAGTCTGGTGAAGCCTATGGGGGCTCTTTGCTTTTTCTTTTTTCTTTGAGAAAGTATCTCACTATTAGTGTCTCTCTATGAGTACAGGATGGTCCCCAACTCCTTCTGCCTGTTTCCCACGTGCTGGGATTACAGATGTGTACCACCATGCCTGGTGCCTATGGGGCTTTTAAAGAGGAATGGAGCCCCAGAGGCCATCAAGGGGAATTACTGTCTTGAGATCCAACTGGAAGACTACCTGGTAGGGATATGGTGATGCTGAGGACATGCCTCAGTAACAAACCAATGCCCCATTCGTGTTTTTACAACTATAAACTAAAGTGAATAAATGAAGACATGCTAGATGGTAAGTCATGGTACTAGTACTTTTTATATGTAAGTATTTTAATAGTTTTGAAGTTATCTTCCGATTATTTTCTGTGCATACACCTACGTTGAAAAAAAACCAACAGAACCACCCAACTTGCCTCACTCCTGAGATGTATCCTATAATGAACAGATGGAGGCTGCTCTACCTGGGACAGTCATCTGCAGAGGCCTGACGAGGTCTGGGTGCCTCAGCGGGTTTCCAGGGTACACGAACCACTCCTTGACCACTGGGTAGGCTGTACTGGTACCATCTGAGGAAAGAGAGCAGGTCAGTAGGTGAGAGCTCTTGGTCCACGAGTGCTGGTCAGCCACTTGCATGCATACTTTCCCAAAAGACTGAAGTGACATGTTGTCTTGTTGCTTTCTGGTCACCAGGATAAAGTACCTGATAGGAACAAATGACTTTAAGAAGTTTACTCTGGCTCCTGGCTTAAGATGACTCAGTCCAGGTGAGTTGGCTCTAAGGCAGAAATGACCTTGTGGTAAGGTAGGACAGAGGGAAAAGTGTGGAGAACGTCAGAACTGAATTTTGGGGGAAAACTGCAGCTTCTAAGACAAGTCTTTTCCTTTCCAGGAAATTCATTCAAAACATAATTTCTAATGGTCTTTTAACAACACACTGTAAATTAGGGCTCTGGCCTTGTCCTTTTCACCTGTAAATTGTGCTTCCTTTATCCTCTAGCAGGAGCAACACTGGAAGACAATGTCTCTCAACTTCAGACACATGCAGATGGCTTGTACTGTAACCTGACAGAGAGCAAGAATACACAGCCTGGCTGACCTGCGGTCAAGACACTCCTTGAAATACGCTGTTTCATTCTTTGAGTACATTCTAAAATAAACCTTTTTTATGTTTCTTTTTTAGTGGCACATACTGAAAATTTCTTTTCCATTATTAGAACTTGATCAGCAAACCTGCAAACTTATTTAACCACTTAACAGACTATCATTTCAACCAGTTAATTTTTGTTTGCACAAAATACACTCATGTCTGTTTTGTATACTATTTCTTGCACTTTTTTAAATTTGGAATGCTGTATTCCCTTTTGATTTTGTTTCTAATGAAATCTAATAAGTTCTGGTTAATTTCTTTTTTTTTTTTTTTTTTTTTTTTTGTCTTTTTCATTTTTATCGGTACTGGGGATCGAACTCACGATCGCCTGCTTGCAAGGCAGGTACTTATGTCGCTGAGCTAAATCCCCAGCCCCTGGTTAATTTCTTTTACGAATTTGTGTTTATTTGTGAAAAATCATCTATAATTTTTTGCTAATCTATAAAAACTCTTATCGTAAGTATATTAGACTTTTTATATGTCTCCAGAACTCAGTGACATTCTTTTACAATACAAAACCGACGGACACGATTGTGCCACTACAACTGAATAGGAAGGTAGTGTCTAAAGAGCTGCACAAGTAGAAATTGAAAAAGGGGGAAAAGTCAGTGTGTCAGAGAACAAACTTAGGAATTGCACAGATAAAAAAGACATCTCTTTATTGTTAATTACTCATAACACAGAAATCACAGAATTTGCAAGAAGAAACAAAATAAAAATTCCAATAGTGGTCAATAATTGTAATAATTCTATAGGTGGTTCTGACAAAGTTGACCTCCATCTAACAAGCTACCCTATAATCAAAAAGCCAGAAAATATGTTACCATAAAATATTTGTGCACCTTCTAGACCAAACAGTATGGAACTTGTCTGTTACTTATTCAAAACAAAGGGGTTCAAAAAATCATTTACAACTTAGACTTAGGTCTAATAGACCAAATCATGAAAAAAATACGAGAGCGAAACGCCTATCAACATGCCCATCATCAACATCCTCACCGTTCTGTTTAGTGGGTAGGGATTTTACCGAAGTTATGCCACCCACAGAAAAAAAGGAATGGCCAACATGACAGTGTAAAGTGTGTTGTTCGTTGTTCGAGAAAGATAAAGTAGACGGCGGCCTTTTCCCATGAGTCAGCACCATTCGCGGACTGCAAGGGAAGAGAACAGGAAGTAAACAAGAAGCAAGCCCTCCTGTGAGTCGGCGCCATGAGCAGGCCACTAAGAGGAGAACCAGATGCCAGCCGATTCCAGCACGCAGGCTTGGAGACAAGAAGTGCCAACACACCACTACTACCACCACCCCCGCCATAAGCGATGACTGATCTGGAGAAACACAGGCTGCGATGATAGCTATTGAGGTAAAATACAACTTAATGCTTGTAGTGTTTAGTATTTCACTGATTTTGCAGTCTAAAGTCTGATCATCTGTTCAGATGATAACAATATGCCATCTAGCATATATAGGGGATCTCCTCCTGAAGGAGGTGGCTTTTGTTAATTCCCTGTTATCTTGTTTTGAAGTCCTGTATCATTTCATTGTTTTAATGGGTTGAGCTTTATTCTGTTTTGTATTGTTTGTTTTTTATCATATCCAATAGCATGGGCAGCTATTTCAAAGATAACAAGATATACTATGATAGACATTTTGGATTCACTATTATCTTGCTTTGAAGTTCTTTATTGCATTCATTGTTTTGTTTTTATTGGTTCTATTCTGTTCTGTTTTGTTTGATTTTTACTATGTCTAAGGGTATGAGTGGCTATTTTGGAGACAACAAGAGACATTATGGTGACTATTGTTGATTTCCTATTACTTTGTTCTGAAGTCCTACATCATTTACACGGTTTTGTTTTGACTGGCTTTATTCTTTTTTATTTTGCATGATTTTATTCTCTTTAAAATAAAAGATAATGCAAAAATAATTCACAAAGAGACTAGATACTACTGTCCAGTCTGTGACATTGCACTGTATACTGAATGTCTTAAGATGTGCCAGACACAGAAAAATTATTGAATAAATTTGATTAAATTATCATTTTTATACTTCCTGTAATTTTATAAAAAATTAACAAGAAAAATATACAATTTTTGATCATACTATATTTAAGTAATTGGACTGGTAAGTGGCTAAAAGGGTGAGACAGGTTCCTTATCTTAGTTTTGGGTACCTCACAGACCCAACCAGGTGACAGGGGAAGAACACGGGAGAAGAAAGCTCTTCACTCTAGAGGATCCAGGAAAGAGAGGCAGGGGAAAGGAGCTGTGGACAAGAATCTATGCACTGAGGTCATGCCTCCAGTGACCTACCTGTTCTGAGGAGCGTCCACCTCTGAACAGCACATTCAGCTATGAACTCAACAATGAATTTACCCAAAACCTCCACCACTGTCTGAAAACAGGCGAGTCCCGGGGAACACTGTAGATCTAAACTGTAACACACAATCATAAACTGTTTCTCTGAACCTCAGGGTGCAGAGTATTATTCAAGCCAATGAAGCTAACAACCAGAGCTGATTCAACAGAGGCTAGGATGCCTCATACTGCTACAGAAAATACTGAGAGAAAACTGCTAGGATATGAGACTCCATTCTGGTTTGGAGCTTACTATCCTAAACCATTATTAGCGCTGAGATCATTTGTGGTGGATTAACTAATGGTCATCTTGTAACACACAGCCGAACTAGAGACATGGGCCTGGAGCCCTAGGCAGTGCACCAGGGCATGGCTGGCATTTAGAGACTGGCAAGAGGAGATCAGCTCAGTCAAGAAAAGGGGACCAGGTAGAGTGGAGCCCAAGAAGGACATGGACATTTACAGGCAGAGGCCAGAGAGACTCCACAGTGTAACTGTAGGTATAGTAGGCCCAGCTGAGGACTGTTGCCAAGAACATAAAAAGAGAACTGGATGAGATGATGATTCTCTCCTGCGCTGGCTTTCCTGCTATGAACTTGGCTGTTCTCATCATCAGAGTTGCTGAGGACCTTGCTGTTGTTGAGGATGGCTGCAGTTCTTTTTAGGGAAGCCCTGGTCTTTATCTTGAGCGTTGCTTCCTGGATCCTGCTTCAGCCTGCTGGCACAGAGACTTCATCCTACTGGTGCACTTTCTAGCTTCTACCACTGACCTTCAGGCCTTCCCAGTGTACATCCTTGATATGGATTTGCTTGAGACATTGTTGTGGGCTCTAACCCTCCAGCTGGACTTGTAAAGGACACTGTCATGAGCTTGAGGTCTTCAGCTGGACTTGTGCAGGATGCTGCACGGGATCCAGGCCCTCAGTTGTACCCTTGCATCTCTAGAGTGTGGACAGATCTCGTGTGCTCTTCTGCATTTGACTTTTTGGGTGATTATAAAATAATCTTCTAAATTATGTGTCTTATATTAAAGTCTTGGACAGCTCTCTGTAACTACTGGCTGTAATCCTGTCTCCCGAGCCTCTTACCTTGGCTCCTCTGGGCTCAAGCTCCCCAGACCCAATACTTCTCTGTAGCCACTGCTTTTCTCCTGCCTTCAGTTCCCTGACAACTGCTTCCTTGCTTACTCCTTCAAATCCTTTATCTGGCTTCAGCCCACACTACTCCACCAGGATGGCACTGCCAGGACTGGCCACAGCCTCCTGTCCATGAAACCCAATGGATGCCACTAAGCCTGTCTTTCCGGCCTCTATCTGTGAATGTCCATGTGCCTCTTGGGCTCTACCCTACGTGGGGACACAGTGGCACTACAGTGATGGTGAGGCTATCTCCTGCCCAGACTGGTCAGATTCCTGATCATTCCTTGTCTACCATCAGGTTCCCAGTCAAGCCTATCTCTAAGGTAAATACTAGGAGGCTTTCTGTTCTTCAGTTTAGTTTGTTTTTGTTTGTTTTATTTTTCTTTGGAGATAGGGTCTCCCTATGCAGTTGAGGCTAGCTTTAAACTCACTATGCAGACCAGGAGGGCCTGAAACTTGCTGTGATCTTCCTGCCTTAGCCTCCCTAGACCAGAGATTATATATAGGCAAGCACCACCATACCCAGCCCTCTTTAGTTTTTTTTAAAAATCTGCTCCTTAGTTAAGACCTCTCAATAGCTGTGCAAGGCCCTCAAATATAAATGCAGGTCTGCCCTAGCAGCTCTCACAGCAGGCTGAAGGAGTCCCTAGAGGCTGTTTCGAGGCCCATTTCCAGCACTCCTGATTCCTAGGTCTGTGCCAGGGAAGGCATCTCTAAGCCATACCCAGGCAATATGACACTTCTGGTCTGGAGACCTCACTAAGAATATACCATGTGACTTCCAGGAGAACTTGGTGGATAGATAATAGCAGCTATGGAGGCTCTCTGAGATAGCTAGCTTAGATTTCAGGAATGGTGTGGTGTGGGGAATCCTAAGCAGGGGGAGATATACCCTGACAACCCAGGAATGAACTAAACTGAGAG